AAAAAAAAAAAAGGAGGGCAACACAGGGCATATTGTTTAGCCAGTGCGCTGATATGATTGACCCAACAGATGTATGACACATGTTAAAAAAAAAAAAAAAAAAAAAAAATGAACCCTAGACGATATAGAAAAGGTACACATATATTTATTGGCAATAATTATGTCGACGAGGCTGTGTGAAGGACCCTCAAGTGTAATGAGCACAAATTTAGCGATCCTGCAAGGTGACCAACCAGGCATTTGGCGAGCGCAAAAATGAAATGCAGGCCGTGGCAAAGGGAGTAAAACAAGGACAATAAGCCGCTAGTTAAACAAGTCTCCTTTTTTGCAGAATGTACAAATAAGGAAGCGAAAGGGAATAAAATACTAATATCCTCATCTTAGCACGTAGATATAACCATTCCCCCTGAACACCTGCCAAAGAGGTCACCAACTCCCCCGAGGTAGGGAGAGGCTTTAACTGACCTGTTGATCGGAGTGAGTCAATCAGCACATTCCATCAGGAGGGCGCCGTCACAACGCACACACACACATATATATATATATATATATATATATATATATATATATATATATACGTATATACATGTGTACACACATTTGCTTTTACACCGTCATGCAAATGAAACTGCTGGCGTCGGCAATGTGATCGCAGAGGCCGCTCTCTTACAGAGGAGTGAAATGAAACGACAAACAATTGTGCCATGTCATACATCTTCAAACACATAAGCGCTGGAAAGGTTTGCACAACGAATAACATCTGCTTTGTAAAGTGGGGGAAGATGATGACCACTCCACACATGAGTTGTAAAAAATTCTCCCTAAGTGGATACTCCGCGGGGGGCGGTGGCGACGCCAGCGACGGAAGCAACGGCATTAACCATGTTAGTCCCTTTTCCTATGTTAACCGTTCTGACGAAACGGAACCCGTGTCGCCCAACTGTCTGGGGGAGCCTGCCTCCAGCCATACGCCGCACAGCACATGTGGCGACCTCTCAGGTGAAGTCCTTTTAAGAAAATACGACAGAATTTTATTAATTGAAAAATACACCAAGTATGATAATCTGAGGAAGCAAGGATATAAGGACGATTATATTTTGCGCAATTTTTTTTCTGTTTATATTTCTCACTTCACGCATACTCTTATAGTGAATAACATCATTAACCTTTTGAGGACAAAGTACAGATCACACGTTTCCATTCTTAAGGCGTATAAGCGGAACATTGAAAATATTTGTATCAGCAGCTCCAGTATTTTTTCTCCGGATGCGATTTTCAGCGTGGGTAGGGTTTTTTGGTTTCTCCTCCTCCGGGGGTGTGTTAATCTGCTCAGCGTGGTGCCTGCACACACACATCGCATGTGCATTCCGAATGTGCTTTCCCTGTCCATGTTTCACTAACCATTTCTCCCCCTTCCAGGCGGAGACGGAACATACCTCGAGTCGGCGCATATAATCGCTAACAAATACATCGTGGACGACAACTCTGGAGGGAAGAAGAAGCACATCGAGCTGGTTGGAATTAATAGCGACCCCAGGGGATCGGAAGGGAAACTCTGCCTGGAATATTGCCATGTAGAATCTGAAAATGAAGTAAACTACACGTATGAATCATTTGAAGAATTCGAGGAAATTTACTACAAGAAAAAAAAAAAAAAAAATTTTATTTTCACGGATGTGTCCAATTTTATCAGGACCCTCAAGGATAGGGAAGAGAAGGGGAAGAAAATGAGGAGTAATAAGCAGCAAATGGAAGAATCGAATTTGACACATTTGAACACGATGGAGCGAATCACACAGAATAATAGTTTGTGTTATGATGGTGTGGATGTGAATGAGCATAATGGTGCGTCTGACAAGATGGTCCACTCGGTCGGGATGCGGAAAAGCAGTGAAGAGGGTGATGCTGGAGAATCGCCCCACACCCAACCTTCCAGCAATCCGTTCACTTCCCTCCTCTCCACGCAGAGCGAGCGCCTGGATAGTCTCACCATCAGCGCAGAGGAGTACGCCAGGAATACGCTCAAGTGCTTCTTCGAAACGAACAAGCATCGTAAGCTACACAGAAAGTACATCACTGTGTACATCAAAAGGTCCAACGAAGAAGAAGGAAAAACATACAGAAGTATTAATGAAGTGTACATATATGAAGCTGTTAAAAATAATATTTGTACATATATAAATATAGATAATAAAATTGTAAAAAAGCTAAAAAGTACAGCTCTGTTAATTACAAGTGGAACTGGGTCTACTGCCTGGGCATACAATGTTAATAAAATTGATAAAAAAAAAATGAAAAATATTATCGACGAATTTGTACGTATACAAAATGATGTAGTGAAGGAAAATATCCAGCCCATAAACTACGATGCTTTTTCAGAGTACATAAATAATTCCATTTGTTTTCATCCCAGTAGTAAACATATGAAGTGTATCGTTAAAGAGCCCGTGGAAAATAGTGTGTATGACTCTACTGATCATGTGTACGATTGCCAATATGTCAATATACGGACCTGCACCAGCAACACAATCGTCTACATTGATGGTGTATACAATATTAAGATTCAACCCAACGACTCAATCATTCTTCACATAAAGGAGGATGACTTTGTCGTCAGTTACAAGTAGGAGTGTTTTCCCCTTTTTCTCCGTTTCCTTGTATTCTTACAGCGGAGTTGTAGCAATGTTAGCTTTTTTTTCCCCTCATATAGTATACATTTATTTGTTTTTTTTCATAGCCACAGATTGTTTCTATCCCGGCATTACTTTTACCCTTCATTTCTCACCACGCTTGCATATTGCGAGTGGAAAAACATGTGTGTAGAAAAAGAACGACTCGCATTGGCGTGCACCCCACTCTGTTTAGTTCACATTCCGCTTAATACGTTCATTTCGCGCTTACTTTTCGTTTGTTTCAAAATGGGGTAAAACCACAGCTGCCAACACTTGAGGCAACCCATAGCACGGTGTTCACATGTATATTCATTTCAATTCTGCCAATTCATTACCTTTAATCAAACTGCGGTTGTGCATGAGCCCCGCGTGGAGGCGCTATTACATAGCTACATGAACACAGCAGCGTGCAGCTTCCACGAGTGGCGTCTTTCCTCCGCAGACTGTTCCAACGAAGCGACTTGATCAAACCCATTTACCGCTTTAACAAATCCGCACTTTACAAGTGTGGAGTGACGCTTGCAAGGAAGAAGTTATAACATACAATTATTTTTCGTGCAAAAAAAAAAAAAAAGAAAAAAAAAATCACGTTTTTGGGAAGACATACATTTTTCGCTTCAGTGAAAGGGTACGCAAAAACAGTGTAATATATATAAGGCTTCGTCATGCATGTGCGCTTTGTCTGTTTCCCTACTTTGGCGGGCGAGAACAACCACTGGCCAGTCGCAACAGGTGCACACTTGTATATATATACATATATATACACATATATACACACATATATACACACATATATACACACATATATACACACATATATATGTACGCATGCGCACACTTCTTGGCTCATTCGCACGTGCGGCGCTCACAACTTGTTGAAGCTAATAATCTCTGCCGACTGCACCAGGAAGTCCAGGTCGTCCTCCACTTCTTCATAATTCATCTCGTCCTCGTTGGCCCCATCGTCGTCGTCCTCATCACTGTTGCCTTCGTTGTCCTCTCCATCCAGGCCGAGAATTAACTTCCTCTTTTTCTTGTCCTCCTCATTATCCAAGTCAATGTTTTCAATTTTCTCCATCAAGTCATTCGTATTAACAAAATCGTCATATATAATACAAGACATATGAAGTTTGTACAGGCCAAATGCTACGGGTAATTTTTTTACTTCCTCACCCCATTTAATATTTTCATCAACAATTTTTTGCTTAACAAGTTTGGGGATTTTAGCAATATCTGTGTCAATTGATTTGGGTTTTATTTCAATAATTAAAATGGACCTATTTTTCTCCTTTTCCTTTTGCTTTTTCTTTTTTAACTCTTCTTCTTTCTGTTTTTTTTTCTCTAGGAGAATGCTCTGGTCATCATTGTTGCTGTCCCCGAATAGGTCAATATCGTTATCAACATCATCATTTGCTGGGATATTTTTTTTATCTGCCGCGTTGCTGCCTCCCACTTTTTTTCCCTTTTCGCTTGGATCCTTAAACTGATCTGTGACATAACTTTCTAAGGAGCCGATATGCTTATACCAGCGATACAAATGGGGGTACTTATCTTTATTTACCACGCATTTTATCTGATTAAAGATCTTCAAATCCATGGCACTTAGCATGTGATTTTGGTAGTACGAGTGTTCGGCGAAAAAGGCGTTCAGGTTGCCATAGTCCTCTTCGCCCTTGACGGTTAATAAACTTGCGTTGCTAGCCATGTTGAACGGAGAGGACGTGAAAAAAAAATGGGAAGCTAATGGTAGTGTTGGAGAGGTGTTATAATTCTGTATGTCACATGTACCAAATGGTTACAATTGAATGAGCGCAACGAACAATCTGCAGCTTCACGCGTTAGGGTTAAATATGTTTTAAAATGTTATATTTGGTGAATATGCTCGTTAACAACGGGCGCGATGTAGGAATGACCCAATGGAGGAAGAATTATGTGGTACTTTTTGCTAAAATAGCTAGATGAAAATTTTTTTTTTTTTAAATTCGCATGAACGGCAGGTTAAAATGTTCACTTTTTTTTATGAACTGTTCAGGCGAAACCATTTTTTTTTTTATACTTAATATTAGCGCTGGGCGCCACAGGGAAGAAAAGGAAAGAGAGGGGCATAAATGAGCCATGCGCCGTGGTAAAACGATGGCTCCGGTATTCGTGTTTTTCCAGAACATACGGACACGGGACGTGACGATCCCACCCATGTTTAGTCGCATTTTAGCAGCCCGTAGCATTGCACCAGCGCGTATGCCTCGATGGATGTATATATATTTATACGCATACGTACTTGCGGCATGTCGCAGGCAGGCCCTTTTTCTCTCCTCGCGCGGAGCCTCATTTTTATTTTTCCTCTGCTTGTAACCAACCCAAAATTTTATTTGCCCAATTCACGCGCAGGGATAAGAAGTAACGAGGTAGAAGGGTTAAACAAAAAAGGAGGACGACATTTTTTTTTTTTTAATTTTGTGACTATTTCATTTTTTCAACATTATCTACATGAGGCGGATATTCAAAATTACTGTGTTTTTCTTTTTTTCTGGGGGGGGTGCGCTCTTGCTAATGTGGCAAAGACCAACCCACTACATAACCCATAAAACACATAGAAGATTTACCAATTGGGGAAATTTGCTATTCAGATCGCCTCTGTAAAGCGGATTTTCGTGGGGTCCATTCTGTGTAGCACCACATTTTTGCGAAATATACGTATGCAGTGAGGCCTAAGCAGTTTAAGCGCATAAAGTATGCCTATCTACACATCTCATAGTTGAGTGGACACTCTGCAATGGTTTTTCACTTGTCACAGAAAGGGGTGTAAAAAGAGGGGGGCGTAAATTTTGCTTGATTAGGAAAAAGGCACGGAAGCTTCATTACTCGTTGCGCTATCCGCTCCATATAAACACAAAAAAGGAGAAGGTGAAATAGATTCTCGTGCTGCTCCTAGAGGGAAGCTTCTCCACCGCTACGTTACTGCATTGGGGGGAATGCACATGCATGGAACCGCATACATATGCGCATACGCTTACCGTGTATAATAGTTGCCCTTTTTTTTCTTTCACCCGGCTAATTCGATTATGTGTAACTTCTAACCCATAACATTGTACACAGCACTTGGGAAAATTTACAAAAAAAGAAAAATAAAAAAGGAGGCGAACCGCTATATTTGACCCATTATATACAACACTAACGACAGTACTGTACTACTGCGAACAGCCCAGCACGGCATCTACATGCTGAGACACACCTTAGAGGCAAGCTTATAAAAAAATGAAGCGCAGAACGGACTTTAAAAGTATATGTGTGGCAACCATCATCGGGGTTTGCAGCGGGTACTACATATTCAACCCGATTGTTAATAAAATGAAAGATAATTTCAACATTGTGAATGAAAAAAGTGAAAAACCTGTAAAGTAGAATTTTTCGTCATATGGTTTTTATCTGGCTTGGCACACACCTGAGCATGTTTGTGCAGATTGACTATTTTTTTTTTTTTTTTTTTAACGCCCTTTTTGCGTCTCCATTTTTGGAAAGAAACTTTTGCGCTGACTCTACATCTACAACGTTAGCGCGAAGAACAAACAGTTTGATGTGATAACCTTAACGTGCTTGCGATCAGTTGACCAGGTGGTACATTTTTTTTCTGTTTGAATGGTCATGTCACTGCTGAAGGGACAGCAAAAAAAAAAAAAAGAATATATAAGCATAACGAAGGTACAGCAGCGGAATTATGTTCTCAAACCTCCTTGTGAAATCGCGAACGCTTCGCTCTATCCACGTGAAGTATGTTCGAAGCGTTAGGGGCAAGGGCAAATGCCCCCCGTTAAGTAATAGCAATGGCATTCCGTTAGCAGAAAATGCGAGTTGCAGGGGTGATAGGTGGAACGAGGAAGGCGCCGAAATGTGGGCCCATGAGCCAGGAAAAGAAAAAATTCAAAATAATACTTATGAAACGTCCTTTCAGTTGTCGCAAGATGAGATCGGGACAAAAGAATGGAAAGATCACCCATCATTGAACGATGGAGAGTTTCCTCAAGTCTGTCCAAAAAGTGATGCTACCACATTTGGTAGGGGAAATAAAAAGTTGAGGAAGTTCAAAATAGCTGCACATGGAAGAGGGAGTCACCTCCATAGGGATGCACTAAATGGGAATGCCGTAGAAGGGCCAAGAAGGACCGATTACATAGGCGATATGTTTTCTGAGGGTCATCAAAACGGAGAGGAAATGTGCCCTGATAGGGGCGAGGAAGGTGTGGAAGGGGTTAACCCATTTGTGTCCAACCAAGAGGGAGTCACCCAGAGTGATGAATGCAAAGATGGGGTAGGTTCCACGAACTCGTGCGCCGAACGTACCACTAAAGAAAGCACATCATACCAATTTTTAAAAACGTTATATGGACTGATCGGAGAGAAAAGGGACATCTCCGAGGAGACAGCAAAGGACTTAATTGAACAAATGAATGAGATCATTAAGATTGAAAAGAATTTAAAAATGGTATTTCTTCTCCTACACACTATGAATAAGCTCATGTGTATTCACGAATTTGTGAGGAAGTTATCCTCCGAGATAGTAAAAGTAAAGGACAGCGAATTGCTCTCTATTATTCTCCGCATAATGGTTAATTGTCATTATAAGGATGGAGAATTATTGCACGTCCTGGTGACTAACCTGAAGGAACACATAAAATTAGGGACATGTACAACGTTAGCCATAAGTAACACCTTCTACAGCTTTGCCTTTTTATACAGAGAAAATTTAATCCACTTGGAAGACATTCCTGTGGAGGAAATCATTCAAATAATTGGCAATTATTACAGCTCCTTTTCTCATGAAGAGCTTTTCGAAATTATTGAGGCGTCTCCTCATTTTTTACTCTCCAAGGAGAAATCACTAAGTGGGAAAGTGAATCAAACAAATAAATCCTACCAACCTGTTAATAAAAATTTAACAAAGTTGCTACAAAAAGTGGGGAACTATTTAGTAGGAGAAAATATCGCCACAACTGCCCCCTTTAAGCAAATAAAAAATATTCTGTACTCATATGCCAAGATTAAGACGTACCATGAGAAATTATTCCTGCATTTATATCCCCCTACATTGAGGAGAATAAAGGGGTATAATGAGTATCTGCGGCGGTGGCACGAATTTGGCAGCTACAGTCGTGGGGAAAGCTTTTCCCGAGCAGCGTGTGCAGGGTCAGAGGAGGAACAGAAGGAAAACCCTCAACTGATCAGCGACGCTTCGAAAAACGTGACGGATGTTCTCTACGCATATAGCAAATTTAACATGTACATAGACGAGCTGTACAACGAAATTTTGCTCCTCCTGCAGTACGTTTACAAACATATGGACTGTTCGGAATTATCACAGTGCTTAATATCGTTAACTAAGGTACACTGCAATGTGAGGATCCTGTTGTCCAAAATACACATGGAAAGATTTAATGTGCAGGTGAAATTTTACAGGAATTTTTTTGCCAACTGTACTCCAATCGATTTAATGAATTATCTCCTAAGTTATAGTAAAAATTTATATTTCGAACGGGACGTGTATGACATCATTGGGGATTTTTTCCTTCGTGAAAAGAAAATCAACTCGCTGGAAGGAAGTGATCTGATCAATATCATTCATGCGTATAGCAAAATTTATTACCTGAACGGCAAGGTATTTTCTGCGGTGGATAATATTTTGTGTGAAAGACTTGACAACAACTCAAATTATTTGTCCACTGAGGATGCCATAAAATATTTAAATTCGTGTGCAAAATTATCTTATAAGAACGAAAAGATGATTTCCAGAATTGTCGAAATTATCCATAGGAGCAATTTTGCTAATATTGAAATTTTTGAGCTGTTTAAAATGCTCAAAAGTGTGAAAAGGCTACAGGTACCATTTGAGCGCTTGGAGACGCACATCCGAATGCTCGTGCCCAACGTCACCTTCGACTTTGGCACGTACAGCAACCATTACTACAGGGCTCCCAAGGACCTCCACGTGCGAAGGAAGAAGTGGGTGTGGTAGGCGAGCGGATAAAAAGGGGGACGTACATGCACTTTAGCGCGCAATCCGTTCAAGCGTTTTTTTTTAGCTATATATGCTGCCTATATTTTATGCCTATATTTTTTGGCAGTATTTTATGCCTATATTTTTTGGCAGTATTTTATGCCTATATTTTTTGCTGGCGCATCGGTGCGGCAAAAAGCGACCCGCTGAGTTGGGAACAAATTCGCAGCTGCGTTTAAGCACGCACGGTTGAGCGGGTTCGCATTTTTCACTTTTACCACGTTTTTGCTCACTTTTTTTTTTTTGCTTATATTTTTTTTTTCTTACCTTTTTTTTTATTTCCCATTTCGCATTTCTTATCTTTAATTTTGAGTTTAATTTCTCCGCGCAACTTTCTGGGAGCATCCCGTTGCTTCTTCCCATTTGGCATCTCGGCCACTAAAAAACATACGCGCTTTCGACGGCCCCTAAAAACACTATATATAATATAGCGCTGTCCCAAGAAAAATTCTCCAACTGGAGGGATTCTTGCTGTTAGCTACGTTGAGGCTTATCCTTTGACCGTAGGCCGCTTCTCCTTTAAGTCTAGCGGGAGGCACAAACATGGCCAAGGGACTACGATCCAAAGTTAAGCGGAGGTTCAGGACGATCAAGCGAATCCACGTGAATGGTAAGCGGTCGATGCGTGCCGGGCGAATGGATATCATTGTTGCTGCCACTTGGCTTCGCCTGTATCCACTCCCCCGTTGATCACTATAGTTGTCACGATTACTACCGCTACATTTTTTTTTTCACTTTTTTTTCATTTTTTTTCCAACCCACTTTTAACAACGCAGAGATTATAGAGAAGCCCAATGTCATCAAATTGCACAACAAGATAAAACAATCGAATAAGAAGAACAGTAAGGATGGACAAGGAAAAAAAAAAAAAAAAAAAAAAAAAAAAAACAAGCACATTAGGAGCACTCCATCGCGCAGGAAGCTTTACCTACTTTGCACCATCCACCTTTTTTATTAACCCTTCTCTTTTTCCTCCTTTGTAGAAAATACACAGGATGATTTGATTAGACCACCCAACAAGTTCCTCTACCCAGGTAAGGATATCCCTTTTGTGTTCTTTCGCGGGGTGTGAATTGTTGCTCGCGCTTGAGTTCCAAGTGCGACCCCATGAAGTTACTCAACCCGGTGCATTATTTAATCGATGCGCGCCCACTTCGTCCCCCCCCCCCTTGTTAGATGACGAACGAGCGGTGATACCGCAGCACAAAAGTCCAAAGGTTATCGACTTCAGGTCCGAAGCCCTACCCCTGTCAGGTAAGTGTTGTGCCATTCGAAGTTAGCCCCCCAGAGGGCGAGGGTGAATTTTACAATTTTACAAAATTTTTTGTGTTGTCCGTATAAATGTGTACCCCCCAGAGGGGAACACGTGTCTTTGTGGACATGGCGTCATGTAGCCTATGCCAATCGCCATGCAAAAAAATCACCATTCATATCATCGCCATGTCCCCATGCAGGATTCGCAAACGTGGGAAACAGGCGCAAGTACAACTTGAGCGAAAAAATGGAAATAAAAAATCACTACGGGAATACCCCCGGGTTTTTTGATAATATGGAGCTAAACAAGATGATCGACGATATGCACAAGCGATCAGTGGAGGTTATGAATGCCATTTCGAAGGGTAACGATGTACAGGGATGAGGCGAGTAGGGGGGATTTTATGTGCTTATAAAAAAGCGCATCCTCTTTTATGCTTGCCACCGTCACATCTTTCTCCACTGGACCCATCTTCAAAAACATCCCATGGGGGCAGATATGCCCACCCTACTTTTGTAAATGGCATTTGTCGTTTACATGAATTAATGATTTATTTGTATTTTATTTTTTTAATTTTTTTTTTTTTTTTTTTTTTTTTGACATAAAATGTTTTGTAAAATTTAAAAAAAGGAGGGAAAAGAAAGGAAGGGGTTGATTGGGAGTGTTAAGTTAAAATGGAGACACACACGGCGCGGGTGCCCATCGCGCGGGTGTCCTTCACGTAAGTGGACATTTTTTCCCCTTTTCTTTTCTTTCTTTGTGCGTGCTGCATGATGCACGCTTCATGTAGTATGCAAAAGACGCTGCTCCATTTTGGACACTCGTTATGCAAAAAAAAAAAAAAAAAAAAAAAAAATTCCAATCAACTTCATTCGGACGCGCCTTTTTTTTTTTTTTTTCATCGCAAAAGGCTACGCGATTTGGTGATCAATTGTGTTTTTCCACATATTACCCTTTTTTCCTTCAATGGGAAGTTTACGCATGGATCGAGCGGTATATCTCTCTTACCCAGCCGCTACATTTTTTTTTTCGCTTTGTCCTTGTCTTTGTCAATATCTTTGTCCTTTTCCTTGTCGTCCTCTGCGTCCTTGGACACATCGAGCTGCTTCTTCTTCTCGGCGTTTATTTTATTTTCAATTTTGTTATTAATTAAATTGTGTAGAGCAATGACCGACCTGGTAATGCTACCAATGAAGACATTCAACATGATGTCGTTATTTTTGACCATAAAGGCTTCTAACAGTTCCGGGTTTTCTGTATCTGGCAGGAGACTAAATACGTTTTGAAGGTTGTACAAAATTTTAATATTCATTTCAATGTTTCCATTGAGGATGTCATTTAGGTATGCTGAGATTTCGTGTAGCTTGTAAATGAGGCTTTTTAGCGAGGAGAGCTTGTCGCCCACTTTGGTCGCCAGGGTCGATGTGGACACGCTCTTCAGTTCTTTCAGCAGAAACTCCACTCCAACGTCCTCGGCCTCGAACGCTCCTGCGGGGGGGGGGGGGGGGTACGCGGTGTAAGCGGCGACATGAGCGGCGATGTAAGCGGTGGTATTCGCGACGGTATAGGCGGCGCCACCCATCACCGAGCCGCAGTCCAACATTACCTATCGTCACGGGGATGTGGATGAAGGTCTTCCTGAACTTGTTATCAGATATGGCCTTCTCAATAGCGACGTAAGCATTCACAGGAAAAATGCTTTGATCCGTGTGTACATTTACCAGGAGGAAGATGGGGGCATGGTGGTACTTGTAAAAAATTTCATTAATAAAAATGTCATTCGGTTTAATGTTAGACCCCGTGGTGTACCATCCAACGATTTTTTCTCTAGTGTTAATTTTTCGTATCATGTTAAATAAATTTTCATTATAATTGTCATCCACAAAGAAAATGTTAATATCTTTAATGTCCTCTTCAAATGGCAAGGCATAGCTATTTGTGAGGTGTACAACCCCGTCAATTCGTTCTCCCAGGATTGTACCCAGTACTCTCTTTTTTGTGTTACTTGCTATACGGTTGTAATGGTCCACAACGGAGAGGAGGACTATCGGATGTACCACTACATGTTTGCTTAGGTATATTCTCTCTAACTCATTTTTGCTTTTCTCGAAGATGTCATTTTCCATTTTTGCTTTGTGTTATTATTTTGTGCGCACGTGTTACTATGCGGCGGCGTGTAGGGGGTGTATAATGTTTTTGTGTGCTATGGAGAGAAGGCGTCCCGGTGGAGAAGCTGCCCCAACTACATCCTAGTCGCATACACACAGGTGTACACAGCTACGCGTGTTAAGCGTTTGCAGGGGAGATAACCTGCGCATATGTACACGCCCCTCAGGCGAAGTCACCGGTGGGCGCACAAAAGATATGACGCAGATATTCACATACAAAAAAAAAAAAAGAAAACAAATGAACAACAATGTGCAAAAATGAGCATAAAGAACAAACGAATGAACTAAGGGGAACATATATCACTTGGGGCTGCTGGGCGGGTGAAATAAAGAAAAAAAAAAAAAAATGAGGCGTTTTTTTTTTCCCCCTGAGAAAGGCAAAAATGGGGAAAAAAAAAAAAAAAAAAGGAGAAAAGGAGAAATGGCTACATTAAGAAAGCTTCCCTAAAAAGAAGCACCTTACATTCCAGTGAGAACCTTTTTTTTTTTTTTTTTTTTTCACAGGATGACAATACTGAGTGGTGGGTTGTGCCCATCCTTCGTGCATTACCCAACAGTTTGCCATTGCCTCACCTGGTACCTGCGTTGGCCTTCTCACAAAAAAAAAAAAAAAAAAAAAAAAAAAAGCCCTTTTGCGGGTTGCCTCCCAAACATTGCTAGGATCTGTCAGGGATGACACCAGGGCTTACAAATTGTACCAATCTCGGTTACACTCACAACTGCAGTCGTGTTGCGCTTGACCATGTCGCGACAAAGCAAATAAAAATGTATACATACATGTTATAACAAGCAGGATGTGAGCACGAAGGAGAATATTTACCAACTGGGCAACTGTTACGTACAAAGAAGCTCTCGTGTAAGTGTAGCACCCTTTTTGCACATACCTACAGGGGGGGTGTGGCGGCCCACGAGCATTGACACGCTGCTTATAACGGCAAGTGACTCCCCACTGGAACATCTCTCCAAATACCCACATGCATACAAGCAGTTTTCACATTTTTATTTGCAAGAACCCACAGAAATAGGCTGCCCAATGTCGGATGGCTCATTGGACCACTCTAGACCCCACGCACATAATTACCAAAAAGGGGGGAATAAAAAAAATAAAAAAAAATAAAAAAAATAAAAAATTTTGGCTATGAAAAAGGGGATACCCCCTCACCAAAGAGGAAGGCTCAATTTTTTATGTGAAACGATCTGAGGCATCTGCCCAGCTCCGTAGTTACTCGGCCACATTTTCCATCCCGGATAAAAAAAAAAAAGGGACCACTTCATACCCGGTTGGCTTCGTCTAACCCCGTTATAAAAGTTCCCCCAAAGGTGCAGAATGAAAATTCGGAAGCACGATTTCGTCTTGATTGACGATGAAATGAAGTGCAGGCTGCACAAGGTGGTGGACATGAAAATTAAAATTAAAAAAAATTACCTCAACCTAATCTTCCTTGTGAATAAAAAATATGGATCCACATACACATACATAAATAACAAATGGGTTAGATGTAAAAAAAGTAAAAATAAATTAGACATTGATTTTTATACAGATATTAAAGGAACAAACAAAGACATTTTTCAGCATACGAATTCTCAAAAATTAACTGAAGAAAATATTGCAGAGCTGAAAGATAATGTGTGTGAGAATCCATACGAAGTTATACAAAAGTTGGTCGACAATTCTTCCACTTACAAGGAAAAAACTGTGATCTCGAAATTCAAATACGTGGAGAAGAAGCTGAAAAGGCACTTGTGTCAATTTACTGTGTATGAATGTAGCATTGTGAATTTGGTGAATTTTTATTACAAATATTTTCCTGAAAAAATTTCCTCCGTTAGGGTTGATTATCTCGCCAATTTGTTGTTCCACTTGAATAGAGACGTCCTTTTGTCCACGCGGCACGACTCCCAGGGGACGCAGCAACACACGCAGCAACACGCTCAGCAAAAAGGCGAGCACGGAGATGAAAAAGGCACCGAAGAATGCGCCGAAGAATGCACCGATGATAAGGAACACACACAAATGCTCCATGAGGAAGCGGAGAAAACGGCGAAACCGGACGACAATGCCAGCTCACACCAGTCCCTGTCCACGCAAAAACCGAATGTACTCATTTATGACGACTCCTTTGGTTTACTGATCAGTGTGCTCAACATTATTTATTCTAATCATGTTAATATTTTTTCTCTTGTTTATAAAAATGCTTCTAATGCTATCATCCCTAGCTTTGGAATTGGCAAAAGCACCAACGTCGCCAAGGTTAGCATCCTGCATGCGTCACACGCGACACGACTGAACACCGGGGAGTGGCTCGCCATCGACGGCAGGTGTGAACTCGTTGGGAAAGAGGCAGTACAGGGGGCACTAGCAGCAGCATCAAAGGGGGGTGAAGCGGCTACAGAAGATGACGTGGTTGAACAAGACGACATAGCCGAAGTGGAATGTCGCAAGAGGACAATAGACCAGGTCGACCACCCTAATGATGGAGGGCACGACCATGCTGGTAACCCCCCAAACAAGCGTGCAAAGAACGCCCACGAAGCGGAGGACCACGAAATCACGTCCAACAAACAATCACATCTTCAACACATGCTGATAGACCACATGAACAGCAGAGGAGCGGAAGCATTCGTTGTAATCATATCAAGTGACTTCATTTACCACACAAACACAGATGTGCATCTCCTCGTCGACACGCTCATAAAGGTGTCTTTAAAATTTCTGAAGAATGATAGCAAGCTAATTATTCAGACGGACGATTTAAATGTGTGTAGCTTATTCTTAAAGGGACTAATGGACACCAATTCTTTTATAAATATAAAGCTTAATGAATTTGTGTTACGAGAACAACAGGTCGTGAAACGGCGAACGCATCCAGTCATAAAAAATGCCAAGCTGGCTGATGGCTTTTTGTTAACTGCGCTCAAGGTCGAGAGAGGAGCAACCTAAATTTGCTCCATCCCACGGCGGACACAAAAAAAAAAAAAAATGTGTATAAAAGTACGTATATATATATATATATATATATATATATATATATGTATGCAATTGTGTGCGCATTTTTTCTTCCCACGTGGGGTGGAAAAGAGGGAGGATATATAAAGTGTGCATGCGAAACCGGGGGACAAAAAAAAAAAATGGTTATCAAGTGGTACCTCCACGAAGGGATGGAGCAAAATCCTGCCGACGGGTGTCACTCCTATTTTTTTTTTTTTTCCTGTTCCTCGTTCGGCTTGAACCAGTATAATTTGTGAAGACGTCGCTCTAAAATACGTTGTGCTGTCCCTTGGAAGACTTGAATTTATTTTTTCGTTCCTTCGAAATTTGAACTTTATCCATTTTTTTTTTTTTCATTTCCAACTGTTTTTTTCGCAATTCCATTTGTTCAACTTTCTTCTCGTACAATGCTTTTACGCTCTCTGGGATTTTCGCTGTGCTGAAATGTGTTCTCGCGTTTGGCGTGGTGAGCTTGACGGTGTAGTTTGCACATAAGCATTTGAGCAAGGACTTGGGCAGGTAAGCGCTGAGTGCCATTTTAAAGGGGTATTTACAGAGTGGACACGGGAGGGGAACAAACACGACGGTCAGTAGTTTCTCCTTGTTCTGTCAGCTGAACCCTTGAGGTGTATTATACCATCTCTTCCCGCAAAAAAAAAATGTGAAAAAAAAAATGTGAAAAAGAGGGCCCACGCGTGCTCATCTGTTCGTAATGTAGCTTCGGTATGTTCCTCTTTGTTGCGTTCTCATCAGTAATTCCTTCCTTGCGCCCCCCTTCGAGAAAATATATTTTGCCAAACAGTTCAACGAAGTCACCTGCACATACAGCAGGCTGCTCAGTCCGCCTGGATTGCCAAACTGAAGTATGAGTTATTTTCCTTGCACATGGTAAAAGGGACCCCAACTCGATGTGAAAGAGCAGCAACATTTGTTTTGTGCTTCCAGGGGATGCCAAGGGAAGCGGCAAAAAAGTCAAACCAAAGAGGTAAAAATATACATACATATATAATTCGAAAATGGCGCGATACATGAACGGGTGAAAAAAAAAAAAAAAAAAAAAAAAAAAAAAAAATCCGCCGCAGGCGCGTCGCCTGACCCGTTTCACCACACAAATATAATAAGATAAATGCAAGGAAGCGTTCACTTGAAGAAGAAATTACTTTTGTGGAGAAGAGACTGAAAATGTAAATACTCGCTTGAGGGATAGCTGCAATGTGTGCCTTTTACAAATTTAGTGACACCTGATTTAACTTAAACAACACTGGGTTTTTAAAAAAAAAAAAAAAAGTCAGCCACAACCTTATGGATGTACAAACGCAATGTCACAATTTCTATTTCTGCATCCAGCCCCCATGTGTATATTTTTCTCCCCCTTTTGAGACCCCCACGGTGCTGTTCAGATCGCTCAGACTCAGCCCGTTTTGCTCCTCGTCCGCTTGGCCGAGATGGTTTCCCCCTGCATGACGGTCATCGGTACAGTCTTCCTCTTCCGGTGCTGCCCCCTTGCACTTCATGGTGAGCTGTTTCTTAAACTGCTTAAAGAACATCCTACACCTTTTGTCATGTACATCCTCCTCGCTGGAATCGTCCATGTGGTCTCCTGCCCCCCCGGGAATTACACCGGTCAAGAAGGTAGAGTCTCCAATAAGACAACCCAATTTGTTCATGACTTCCGAGATGGACCCCATTTTCACATCAAGTGCATCTCCGATCTTTGTAGTAAGACGTTCTTTACCTCTAGTCATATTGTGGCTAGTTGAACCCACACAGTTGTTAACTCCGCCTGTTTCAAAACATTCCCTGTTAAAGTGCATGTAGGTTTCCCTTTTCCTGTGACACTGTTGAAAATTTAATGAGCTTCGTATCAATGTGGAGGTGTCATCCGCTGTTACATTATCGTAGAAGGAGAGGTGAATTTTATCTCCCTTCTCTTTACTTGTGCTTACACTTGGCAGATGTGGGCTGTACGTGGCTGTAAAGAATCGATCCAGTAAAGTAGAACTTCGCATATCATCATTGTAATAAACAGCCCCGTCTGGAAAATTCAAAACAGCTGAACTGCAAGTAGCCTTTTTTGAAAAATTTTCCATTCCTTTCATTTTTAAAAAATCCAAAACTGCATCTGATTTGGATCTTAAGAGACATTTTTGGAGAATATCGTCTTTTTCTTTTAAAATTTTTTTTTTAAAAAAGACAGCAAAATCGTCTGTCCTAAAAATTTTGGGTTTACCAAAGCAGGGTTTTTCGTGGCTTTTAGTGGAGGTAAGTTTTGGCTTGTCCTCCGCCATGCATTCTCCGACGCGTTCATCATACGGAGTGTTTTTTTGGGGTAAAGGTTGAACATGGTGCGGTGCGCTGTTCACAACATTCCTTTCGTCCTTCCTGTTACTTCTTATCGGGTGATCACTGTAATGGTGCGTTTGCTTATCCTCCTTGTCGTCCCTCTTTTCCTTCTTCAGCAGTGCCATCTGCCTAAGCGCTTTTTTGTTCTCCGTCCGTTTTAATACCCCTTCCAGAATGGACAAGGCATAAACTCTACTGTTTATAAACTTTCGTATGCTTCGCTTTTCTTCCTGCGCAGGTGTGTGAGAAAAAAAAAAAAAAACAGCGCATGATTTTGTCCTTTTCTCATCATAACAACATTTTTTTTGCTCATTTTACGCCTTTGTCTCCCCCACAGTGGGTTTTATTCGTTCGCTTGACGTGGTTACCACCAAAGAAGTGATGACCTGTCCAGCGAACTCACCTGACGCCGCTGAAACGACCCAATGACCGAAAAAAAAACAGACAACTGCCTGTGCATGTGCCTCCTCAGGAAAAGGCATAACAAAATGGAGAAAAACTTCAAGTACTTTTTCTTTTTCCGTTGATCATGTATGTCTACATCGATGAAGCTATGTATCAACGTGTTGCTCAGTACCACCTTCTTGTGGGAAAGCTGCTTATACATTTTAAAATTTTCTCTGCTTTTTTTTTTTGCAAATGGGGGTACCCCCAATTCATTGTGATGTACGACTTCCCCCTTTTGGATGGTCTCCGCGATGCTCCCTTCCTTCGTATTTTCATTCTCCTTTTTCGTCTTTTTTTTTTTCTTCTTCTTTAAAGGGGATCCTTCTTTATTTCCATCCTGTTGTAGTTCTTCCCCCGTGGATCTGAGAATTACCCTTTCGCAGCTTTTCCCCTCGTTGGGCATTTTGTTAAAACACCACAAGGGCATATCTGCCTTGCGTGGAAATGCGTTCTGTATGGTGTGTCCCGACACTGCGGAATGGGAACCCTGGTTTTTATTTCCTTGGTAGTTTTCCCCTGAGGGAACAATTTTGGAATATTTTTTGTAGACAGAACGGGGGACTCTTACGATCGAATATTTCCTCCAACTTGTTAAATAATTAAAAATTTTTTTTTTTAATATGTTATTAATTGTGTGTATTGAAAAAATAATTTTTTTTTTTTTTTTATCCTGTTCATATTCCTTCTGTTGTTTCTCTCCTCTTAGGACAACCTCCTCACTACTAACAAGATAGGCTGCTGTTTTGTGATAATCATGTGGGGGGGGCTTATTGTCGCCTCTTATTGGTTTATCTGGGCCCATCATCCAGCCACGTTTATTGAAGTCGCTTCTGTCAGCGCTGTGCATGTCTGTACGTTTCCCACCCCCTTGGAAAAACCCCGCCCTTTCCTCATCTCCTCTGCAAATTCGTTCTTCGTCCATCGGGCGGGAATACTTCTGCCTCTCTTTGTGTGTTTGCTCTTTGACTGGATCTTCGAGAGGGTTGCTTTTTGCACATTTTTGGAGGTCGTGGACAGGCAGGTGGGCTTGCTTAACATACATATGGGCTCTCTCCTGAGCCCCCCCTTCACACGTTTTAACTTCATGCCGCTCTACCTTGCGCACTGGGTGAAGTTTTCCCCCACTGTCATATCGCAACTGATGACTGTTCTCCGGGTCTGCATAGTTGTGGTAGTGGTCCCACGCATGACCAGCGTGACTTTTGTCGAGGGGGACATAGGGGGCGGGTCTCATCCCAGCATACGTGGTACACTCTTCTTCAAAACGGTTTATGTGTTTGTTTCTGTCAACAGGGTTTGGAAGCTCTCCTTGGGGGTGCTTGTTGCCGCCACTACGCTCATGATAATGACCGTCCGTTGGGTTACCATAATGAGAGGGCTGTTCATACTTTTGTCCCTCCCATGGGTATGGTACATCCCCTTTACCACTTCTTCCCTTTTCATATCCTATTGGGGATTCACTCGAGTAGCCATTCTCACCAGAGTACTTATCACTAATGGACACCTGTATGGGATGCCACATTTTCTTGTGTCGAAAATATGTTCTCATGTCCCCTATATGGGAGTTTACCTTTTCAAATTTTCCTTTTTGTTTGTTCCATTCAATACTGACATCTAGGTTTATATTAACTTGTTGCTGATCATGGTGATGAGGACACAGGTTGCTTCTCTCCTCCATGGGTCTTGCCATTCCTCCTTTTTTCACATCGCTAGGTTGCCCAAACATCCCATGTTGTCCACCAAGGGGGTCCACTTGTCCGCTGCATTCTGAACAGCCATTTTTCGTTTGTCCATTTTCACCTGAACAGCAATATTTTTTTTTTTCCCCAACATAGTTACTGACATATTTTTCGCTTAATCCCTTTTGCTGATTAAATGTTTTTTCAGCTTTTTTTTCGTAAAATGTTATTAGTTTTTTTTTTTCCTTTTTTTTCCCTGTGCCTGTATTTATCCCATCGCAGCAACTCTTCTCATTCCGTTTGTCCTTCCTGGCATTTGTGACGTCGTTTAGGTACCTTTCTTTAATTTCGTTCAGGGAGATGACTCGCTTTTCGGAGTTCTGTCCCTTCCTGTGCACCCACCTGATGGTGGACATCGCGAAGGGTGAAGCGGGGGAGAAGATAAGAAAAGTATTTATTGACCGAATCGGTCCATGTCCATCCCCGTGTAGACGCTCTACCTAAGATGCGGTTGTGTAGGTCTTTCCCACGCGCTGCTTATTAGGGGTTCGAAAGGGAAGAAACAGGACAAAAAAACGCAACGTCTCTACAATTGGAGAGTCGTGGGTACTGCTCTAACCAGGCTGGTATCATCCTGTGCAGTGCGCTTCATTCCGATTCACACGGCTCCATTTCGCTCCGCTTGGCCTTTTTTTTTTTTTTTTTTTTATTGCTCCTCTTTTGGCAATCCGCTTACACGCCAAATGGTGTGTCTTTTTAAAGCGAAGATAAAAAAAAAGCTTCATTCATTTTTAAAAACAAACATAGTTTTTTATTTTAAAATAAAAAAAAATAAAAAAATAAAAAAAGTGGGATAATTAATGACACAACATGGGCACGTAAGAAAAAAAACATCTTTCGTGTAATATGTTTAACAGAAGACATAAAAATACATGCCCCTAGTGTGGAATGATTTCGCAACAAGGGTGCACAGGTGGTAGTGCAAGGGAGATAAATTACAATGGGGGTGAGGTGCGAAGTGAAAACAATGCCTTTACACTACGTCGTTTATAAATAAAATAAAGTGAAACAAAGGAGTGCCGTTTTTACTCAAAAAATACAGGTAAAAATTGGGACCAATAATAGGGGTAAAAAGTGGGTTTAATAAAAACTGCGTAAAAGGGTTTTGCCCCCAATGGGGCAAAGACAAACAGCACAAAGGACGCCCCTCCCCCCTCCCCCCCCCAAAAAAAGAGGCAAAACTTTGCACCCACAAATGGCTTGCACGGGGGAGTTATCATCTGTACTACATTTTTTTAATTTGATGTGCTCTGTAACGAATTGCTACAATTTTGTGAAGACCTCCATTTGTGCAATCTGTGTTTTACAATCTGATTTACCACTTCGCTTTAAAATTTCCATTTTCATTTCGCAACTGCCTCCACACATTTACTGCTACACACATGCAGAAAGGAAAAACACCATGTGGACTGACTACGGTCAACTGTTAGTTCTTCTAATCCTCCTCAATGAGAAAAAAAAAAAAAAAAAAGGCTGTAACATTTTAATGTGTATTTTTTTCCCCATAATAAAAAAAAAAAAAAAAAAACACGTCATTATTTTATTCCAAATCTGAGGGCCCTGGCTTTCAGTTTATCACTCTGCATGGGTGTAGAAAAGAGTTTTAGTGGGATGACATGGGAGTAGGGGTATGGCTCAAGGTGCAGACACACACCTCCACGTAGGAGCTTCTTTACACGGGAGGATGCCATTGCTCGTAATCACATCGTCGAGGTGTTGCACGCGCAGTCATGTGTAAGATGTGGTGTCACCACCTCTGCTGGTGCACTCACAGAATAGCAACACAGGGGGCATATATACATATATATAATCAGGCGCGCTCAGTTGGCAGTGGGGCTTACATCTTGGATCAAGCCGAACCTCTCGGCACGCTTCCTCTTCATTTCGGAGTCGTTCAGCTTTCCCTGCGTAACGGACGTGATTAGGTAAAAATGACGAGTGAAAAAAAAAAAAAAAAATGGGAAATGCAAAATGAACGAAATGACAATTGGGGGGAGGGGGTCAATTTTTGGCACAGACGGATTTGTTACCTTGTTCAGGCCAAAGCGCTCCGCTCTCTTCCTTTTATTCTCCTCTTCCATTTTATGAGTCACAATGCAGAATCTGTAAAAATGGGGTTGAGCGCGGTCATGTGAAGTGAGCTGTATGTGGGGGGTATAACCCCTTAGGGAGGGTACAAAACGCGCGAAGGAAAATGCACGTTCATCTTTTTTTTATTTATTATTATTATTATTTTTTTTTTTTTTTTGGGTGCTTCTTTATTACCTCTTGGCTCTGGACTCTAGGGCATCATCCTTGGAAACGACGCCTGCGTTGGGAAATGGGTAGAAAAAAAAAAAAGAGTCAGCAAAAGTGGGTTTCAAATTTAGGCGGACAATTTGCAGAGAAAACACGTCTTGCATGGAGCGAACGGCGCAATTTGGTCTGCCAATCACACTGATGCACTTTTCATACCGAATCGCTTTTTTCGCAGCTCCCTCTTTTTCTCCTCCGTCAGGTAAAGATTATCTTCTGCAAAAAAAAAAAAAAAAAAAAAAAAAAAAAATATGACAACAGGGAATGCGTAGGCGGTTAAGGCGATTCTAAAATGATGACTGGTCGTGATAAGTAGCGCAACCCATGCCAAACCTCGGTGCAAAGAAATATGTTACACACGCATGCACATGCATTTTTTTCACGTTTTCGTGTTTTTTTTTTTTTTTTTTTTACAACGCTTCCACGTTTGCGCAGTGCCACCCTTGTTGGGCGCACCTGTCTTTTATTACGAACCTGGCGAGGAAAGAATATTTTTCTGCAGGGTGTTTTTCGTGGACAAGGAACTCTCCGAAAAGGTAATTTTAGGAATGACCATTTTGGTTTTCTTTTCATCATCATTGTTTTGATTTGTGTTTTTATTTGCATCCGTTTTCTTTTCATTTTTTTTATATTTGGATCCTTCATCTTTTGTATTCGAAGATAAAATGTTTTTCAAATAATTTTTCATTTTTCCCAAGCCCGCTGTGTTAAAATCGTCTTCTCTGTTATTAACTAATAAAATTTTTTTTTTTTTTTCAGACCCAATAAATGGTGATGAAGAAGACTTGTAATTGATATTTTCTTCTTCGCCACTTCCTCCTCCTTCTAACTGATTAATATCCTTTTGGGATTTCTCAACAGGTTGTTCTGAGTTGTTCAGATTGCCTCCTTGTGCATCCGTCGATGATGAAGCTTCCAGGTTTGTCCCCTGGTCGGAGTTCCCTTTATGGTTTCCGCTATCTAATATGTATGGACTGCTCACCAGATGGGGGTTTTCTTTTTCATAATTTAATAGCCGTTCTAGAAGCTCGTTCTGTGCGATTTTTTGGGTTTATTCAGAAAAAAAAAAAAAAAGGGGGTGGGGCGGGTAAAGAATATGAAAAGTATAATTGCTGAATAAGCGGTAAAACGCCATAACGAATTTTTTTTTTTCTTCTTTTTTTTTTTTTTTTTTTTTTTTCTCAAAATCGGGGTGATTGCGCAGCGGTTGTGGTGGCAGCGGCGAGGGGCATATATAAAATACACATGTACTGCACGCGTGGTATGTAGGTATATTTTATGTATGTATATTTTTTTTTATGTACATATATATGTTCGTGCGCTTGCAATGGCGGAGCGGCTATCATCAACTACACGTTATGCGCACGTACAGCAGGCCCGAACAACGACAACCCGATGCGGTGCGCGTATTTCGAAAAATATTTTTTTTTTCTTAATAATATAATGTGAAGGTCTACATGGGCGGGGCGTACGTCACAACAAAATGAGTCCGCAAATGACAGAAAATGTACGGACAGGCAAACAATACAAAACATGTACCACGTATCTCTAAATAGGCGCCTAGAAATTTTATACTACGCATCATTAACGACATGACAACCGCATTTCTGCAAGAGCGTTTTTTTTTTTTTTTTCCTTTTCTCTCGCCAAGGCGCACGGTCTCGTGAAGTAATATATACTTGTGTCACCACCGCGTGCAAGCAAGTTTACAACGCTGTATATGTATACAACGGGGTTGTACCTTCTTTCCGTGGGATGGAAGCCCTCTTTTGGCTAACAGGTCCTTTAACTCTGAACACTTCAAATTTTGGTAGTTCATTTTTTTAGTAGCTTTTGCTCACAGGCTCGTTTTTTTTTTTTTTCTTCCTCGATCCTTTGAAGCAGACGTGTGATGTGGATAGGTTTTGTTATGGGTAGGAGAAACAGGGTGGACGCAAAGGCGGTTGGCAACAAGCGGGGGGGAGGGAGGGTGCAGAAGAAATAAAATAGTGTCCACTGTTACGTGTGGGGCTGCAATTTTTTTTGTGTGATACTGCCCAGGAGTGTGCCCTGCGGGTTTGAGACTGTCCCCACTTTGTAAGTAAGTAAACGATAATAATAAAACGCGCGATCGGTTATAAAAGTCAAGTCATTGTGAAGCTGTACAGGAATACCGATTTGCGTATAAGAAGCAAACATGTATATTTTTTTTTTTTAACACTTTTTTGGCGTTCGTGGTGGATTCAAACAAATGTGGGTTTTGGGCCAACGGAGGAAATTAAAAAACAGGAACACAAAATATAAATGCGCATGTAAATAAATTAAAAAGGGTTGCTCGGGCACATGTGCGTGCATTGGGTTGGGAGCGTTTTTTTTTTTTTCTTCAGCCCTTTTTGTTGCGTTTTTTTAGGGCGTTCGTTTTTGCCGTATTGTTGCCGTATTTTTGCTGCGTTTTTGTGCTGTGTTTTTCCTGGGGCACTATTTTTTTTTTTTTTTTTTTTTTTTTTTTTTTTTTTTGACAGGTGCCACGTAAGGCCCCCATGTCGAATAGCTAATTGGCTTTATAAAAAATTGTTCGACCTGCCGCATGCCTGCCTGCATATACCTAGGGGGTGTGCCTTTTCCCAGCAAGTAATTGTAAGCTTATTTCCACAGTGGGAATTGCATGGGGCGCACCTGGAAGGAGTATGTATGACGCTATGCAGTCGGATAAAAATAACATGTACCTCCCGTGTGGCAATAAATAACAAAGCGCTGTTTTGTTTTAAAAGGTTCATGCAAGAGTGTATAATTACGGCAAAACAGAATTTGTCCTTGTGCTCTTTACGCCGATACATATAAGGGCAAAGCGGACAAAGTGGATCCTGTATTGGTGATGTCACTGAGGTGTGTTTTGTGCATACGACCTGGCACATGCTTATGTGTACGCCTTCCAAACCCCCTGAAGCGTGATAAAATTTCGCTAAGTTGAAGGAACGTCTTATTCTTAATAGGAGAGTTAAATGAACACCCTCTACGGGCTGCACACCTACGGCGCAGCAAGTCAGAAACAAAAATCCTATTTAAAATAACGCAAAAAAGGAGGCAAGTAAAAAAAAAAAAAAAAAAGGTCCCTTTACCATACCCCAGATACGGCGTACACATTCGTAACTTTGCTTGTCGACCGTCTACGTTGATCACCTAATGTGTGAAGGGTCTGAACGTGGCATATCCCTGTGGAAGACAAGACGCTTCTTTTCGAGGTGGCAAAATGGGGCATCATTCCACTTCGCTTACCAAAGGAGAAAAAGGGCCTCTTAACTCCACACGCGCACGTGTATTCATATGCACATAAACTCTTACCGGCGTGGCAAATGGAAAAATAAATCATTTTTCGAAAACTCCAAAGAGGACAGATTGTTACGAAGTGGAGGCTTGTATGAAGTCACCCCATAAAAGGTCACGCATCATAAGAACAAATATAATGTGTACACATCAGCCCTCTTCCTTTTGCGTAATTTTTTTTTGTTTTTCATTTTATGTACCACTTGCCCTGTGAGACAATAAAGTAAATTAACACCGCACCAATGTAACAATAGAAATTCGCGCCGCGTTTAAAGGGATTCATTAATGGTGCATACATTTGTTTGTTTCGAAAGTGACAGGGGTCATGGATGAGAGTTCCTATCGTGGTACGTTCCACCGTGCGAACAAAGCACGGTTAAAGTTATATCTCCTGCTGGTAACAGTGGTAGGGAAGAAAGGGACGCCTTGTCCCCCAAGGCGGTCTTATAGGGATTCTGCCATGATATGTGGCTTCAACACTGTTTAAACATCGCTTACTTCTGCATATGTTTTGCCCGTATCATTTTGACGGTGAAAATTTCACAGCAATATGTGAAGCAACCTGCAATGCAGCATCTTCAGAGTACCGTTTTACACGCATTGCTTTATTTTTCCACCGTCCATTTATTCCGGTTATGTCCTCCACCCTATTTGTAAACCTGATTAAACTCTTCAAATTTTGTTGCGTCCCCTGCGCAATGTCTAGGTACAGCCCACTCCTACGAGGTGGTCGCTGAATCAAGTTTGTTTATTTATTTATTTTTTTTTTTTTTTTGTGCAGTTTTGTGCCAACGCTCAACACTACGCAATTTTTATGCAGTGTATGTTTAGCTACTTTTAGGCCATATGGCAATTTGGGGGTTAATTTTTTAAGCCTTTTTTCTTCACCTACCCTCCCTCCCTTAGTCCTTTATTTTCCTCCCCTTTTTTATGCATCTAGAGGATTGGGATAAGCGCTTACATGTTTACACGCTTGCACTTGCACGCGTTCCATTTGCGTACCCCCACGCTCTTCCATTTTGTAACCACTCCTGTTAAGAAGCATGCACGATGCGCGAACAAAATGCATCGCACGAGCCTTACATTTGTACATGCAATATGTATTCCGCACTTAGGCACGTACCTGGAAGTGCCCTTTTGAATTACACACCACTGACGAGCCTAAAGCCAAGTTCATTACCTTATTGCGTCATTTCGTTTTTTACTGCGTGCGTTCTTTCTTATTATTTTTTTTTATTTTATTTTTTTTTTTTTTTTTGAGGATTTACCAACAGCACACACTTCACCTAAACCCATATAAACACACTACTAACTCGCTAGCCTACTGCATTTACATTCGCACCCACAATTACGCATATGCAGATAGAGTACCATATGTACATGGCCCTGCTATGTAAACTATTCCTGTTTGTACATTACGCGTTAAGAAACATGCACGTAGGAAAAGGTCATCTGAGAGGTGATGTGTTTTATTTATTTTTTTTTTCTTTTTGACGACTGTCCTTTGGCTTTTGCTTTAAATGAGTGTTGAACACCTCTTTCACCGAATTTCCGTTTCATTCCATGTGTACCCTTCCTTGAATGTGTATTCCGGCACGCTTGCGAATCTGCACTGCTATTGCATCTAGTCTGTGGCATTCCGCGCCCATCACAAGACAAATGAGTATACATAATATCACTTCAAAACGCTGTAAAGAGTAGTACCCACCCCACTTCCTTGAGTTTACCTCATTTCTAATGTGTTACTTCCATCGCCATTTCGTCCTTAGCCGTTATCGTTCTGTGTCATTTGACCTGACTTAACTTTACCTTGTTTGTGTTTGTTGCTTGTGTGTTTTCTTTTTTTTTTTTTTCACCTGTGGAGCTTCTCACATTTCGACAGCTGCGAAGCTATCACCCCTGGACTACCGCCAGCCACTCCCCGCTTTGGACTAGCCAGTTTTCGATTGCCCACTTGCAGAATGAAAAATTGTGTAATTTTACTTTTTCTGTTTTGCGCATGTATCAAGTATGTGAGTAGCCATGCGGATCAAATAATTAACGAGAAATTAACAAACATAGTTTTTATGAGTTGTAATTACCAAAGAGGGAAGCCAAATGAGAAGCTAATAAAATCGGTGGAAAAGAAGAAACCACAACTTATGCTCTGGGTTGGAGATTATTTTTACTCAGAATGTAAAGACTTGAAATGCTTGCACGAAGTTTATGATTATGTTAAGAAGGATCCCTTCTATATAGGGTTAAAAAAAAAGTTTGTAATTGACGGAATATATGATGATCATGATTATAATAAAAATAATGGAGATAAACTGTATGAGTATAAGAAGGAAAGCAAAACGCAGTACTTAAATTATCTGAACGTTCCAAAAAATGACGTGAGGTACAAAAGAAATGGTGCATATATTTCGAAATTGTATATAGACCCGGAAAATGAAAAGAATCAAGTGAAAATTATTATTTTAGACACCAGATATAACAAAGACCCGTACCCCTTTTATGCGCCTGACTCATACCATGACAGTTTCATGCATATGTTCGTCTCGTTCGTTGTGCGCTTTCACGCTGCTCTGTTCGGTCTACACTGCGACAGCAAGAATGACATTTTGGGCAATGAGCAGTGGGCGTGGCTGGAGAAGGAACTCACCAACTCGGGTGCGCGCGCGCACATTGTCATTTCGTCCACGCAGGTAATGGGGCCATAGAGGGATTCATAAATAGGATGGGCACATGGGAAGATAGACAAGTGGACAGATTGAGTGATTGAGAGATAAATAGCTAGCTACATGGCTAGCTCGAAAAAAAAAAAAAAAAAAAAAAAAAAAAAAAAAAATATTACAACCGTTTTGCCTGCACGGGTCATAATATTTTTGTTCATTTTGTATACCATGTGGTGTGCTCACTTATTCCCCACTTTCTCATCCTACCTCGCAGATTTTCTCCAACCATGTAGTGAACGAGAACTGGGGATTAATGCCATTCGCCCAGAAGCGACTAAAACATTTGATGAATAAAACCAAGCCCAAGGGGTTAATCTTCCTAAGTGGTGATGTGCACTTTGGAAGCATAATTGGAAACGAAGAGAGTGTGTTGGAAGTGACAAGCAGTAGCGTAAACCAGGAGAACATATTGAGCTACATCAACAAGTATTTCATTTGTTTCTCCACTTATTTTCTGAACAAGAAGACTCCCTTCGAGTTAAACAGAATATTTGCATTTAACAATTTTGGCTCAATTAACATATCATACATAAACGAGGACGAAATAAAAATAAAATCTGTTATCCATGACTCGGATGGTAATGAAATTATAGTTGGCAACCAAACGTTTAATAAAAAAAAAAACGCGTATCAGAAAACACAGAACTTACATTTATTGCATGATGACATAGCGACGTTCACGTGTAAGAGCAAGGCAAAGGTGTTTATAAACGTCATAATTTACATCCTGTTTGTCTTGTGGTTTTTGCAAATTATTTACATCTTTTGTAAGCTGCTCGGGTGTTGTAAGAAAAAGAAGGTCGCAGACAAAACCAAGGGTGAGTAAGTCCTGTTGCGACACGAACCTAACTCAATATTTCGCTTTTATCTTGTTCATTTGAGTAGCCTATTTTTTTTTTTTTTTTTTTTTTTTTTTATTTTCCCCCCCACGTGTGCCTCTGCAATTTGGGGGTGGGGGGTATACTTTTTTAATTTTTTTGCCTGCGGCAGATAATCTGTTTCCACGTTCGTTGCACGTTGCGGAGAACAAGTTAATTTATCGCTGTGTTGGTCTGCCTTTATTCAGCACTACGTAGCCCATTTTAATTTCCCCTTTGCACATAGTCCCTAAAAACTTACTTTTTTTTTTTAATGATCATTAATCATCTCTATACCGTAAGAAAGACACATCAACCTTCCTAGGATAATTGAACAGTGACAACATGGCGTACCATGCTTTATGAAGAGTTGTCTGTCCATCTTTGAGTTCTCTGTGACTGGGTGGTGATGTGTAGGTAAATAATTACACTCTGCTGTGAAGGTTACACGAGGTTGATTCGAGAAGATATTAGTTTACCCCTCTCTTTCGCATCACATGGAAGGATCCCAATCACGTGGTATGTTAAATATAGGTTTGAGAAAAGCATGGAAAGTTATCTCACGTCTGCTGGCGAAGCTGAGCAAGGGTATCCCACCTCAAATCAAGCGGTAACTCTGACGACATGCGCTCACGTAAGAAGGGGGGAAGACAAAGTCATTTACAGGATGGATGAGAATAACCGCTACAGTGTTGTAGTCCTAAATTAGTAGGGCTATCTTTTTTTTATTTGCCGTTTATCTGGGTGTGTAGAGAGGGTATAAACCTGCGCACGGGATGGTAACGACTGAGGAAAAAATCATCAGGCAGGAAAAAAGTTGTCTATTTGGGAGCACAACAACGGGATTTTTTGTTCGTTTTTCCTCCACAAAATGGGTAATTAAATCATTCATATATGTGTACATAAGCGTATGGCTCAGTAGAGCAATTTTAGCGGCGGCCTAATTTTCCAGGGATGCTATTATTAAGTTTTCCAATTTTGAGCCCCCTCCCCACGACATGTGCAATGCGTAAAAAAAAAAAAAAAAAAAAAAAAAAAAAAATACAACATGTGCCACACGTGCACTGTGTGGATTTTTTTTTTCCCCATTTTGCCGTGCATTCACACAAATCTACATTTTGAAAATATTTTCCCCCTTTTTTGTGGTTTTCGCTAAAATGCACATTTGTGCTTGTCTGCTTGACTTCTTTACCCACAATTTTAAATTTTTTAAAAAAATATATTTCCTTCTTCGGACGTACAAGTTGTTTGCAACGTGACGGATCAAATGGTGAGACTGACTTGGACCCAAGCGGTCGCTCTGACCTTCCTCACCCTGTTGCTTGCTAAGATAAGCTCCGTGCTGAACCTGGAGGAGGCGTTCTTCAATGGTAACCTCAGCTTTGGAATCAACTTGTCTAATTTGTTTACCGATAATCATGTGAAGGTAAGCGAGTTGAAGATAAATTGTGCATACTTGTTTGATCCATCCCCTCGAATCGATTTGGACTTGGCGTTATCTGCTCTAAAAGGGGTACAGGCTATTGGCGAAAGGGGAAGCAGTGGTGGAAGTGAATGGGAGGACAAGACTTCCACAACAGGGGGCGCTTCTCCCAATGGAGGGGGAACAAACTCATGGAGCCGAATAACCAGAGAAGACTTTTTTAAAAAGGAAGAGCACACGGAAGACCTCATGAAAGGTATGCCCATGCCTTACCACATAAACAACATTTCAGATGTGGTTCGAGAGATCAATTTTTATTTCAACCAAGGGAGTAAAACAGACAGAGAAGACCTAATCTACAAAGGAACATACACACCGGAGATTTATACAGATGTGTATATAATCATCGCAATCACATTTATGTATTGTTTTTGTATTAAAATAATTTGTGCGGGATATATGAGGGGGAAGAATGTTGCGAAGAAATACATAGCAAAAGTATCGACCTTGTTTTTCTTTTTTTTAATATTTAAAAATTTGTTGAATTATTTACCAGCCATGTTATCCTCAACCGTTTGTCTCATCATGACATTTTATTTCTACTCCGTATCCATGGACCCTTGTGAACAAATACATTTTTTAAAAAAATCGAGCATTAAAAAAGAACCCATAGGATGGGTGCTAATCGTATTTGCAGAATCTATAATCATTGGAAATATTTTATACCATGCTGTATGTACCCCTCGCGTGTTAACCATTTTGTCCACCTATGTACCAAGTGAAGTGTTGCTAAGGATTATTTGCCTCCTTTTTCTTTTACTAATTGGGTACATGATATTTTTACTAATGATAAGTAACCTTGTATCAGCAAAGAAGGCACAGAATTTTGTATTTTCCTTCACATCATCCTATTTAATTGTATCCTGCTGTACATATTTTTACAATGTGTTTTCTCTGAGGGTGTGGACGAGTACCAGAATATTTCAGATCGAACCCATGATGTTTTTTTCATACTCTCCTAAATTTGTTTTTAATGCTCAAAATGGAATTGCGTTGGCTTTTACGTTTGTGATCACGGCCTTGTCTATGTCGATGCCAAAGGTGATGAAAATTGCCAGAGGGTTATTTGCCCAGGGGGGGAAACGGAAAAAAGGGGACTCCTCCTCAGGGGCGCCCAGCGCGTACGACATTATTCTGAACTGCTTTGCTTGACCAGTGTGTAAAAGGTGGTGGATATATATCGATGCAACAATGGCAGCATGGATAGAACAAATATGGGGAGAACATTTACCGGATGCAAAACTAGTGCCCGAGAAAGGAGACAGAGACTTTTCATATTCTGCCGTGCACAAAATATACCCCTTCCATTTTTAACATGTGCCCCTTTTATAGCCTTTCCACCGAAAATCGCTCCGTTGTGTTTGACCTATAGTGTGTTTCAAATGTATTCTCTGCGCACGGAGCCGCATTTGCAGCGTTCTGTGCCCGCCTGATCGTTCATATTTTGCCCCTTTTTTTAAGGCGTAAAAACGGTAAAGGAGAAATTGACCAACTTGACGAAATTTTCCTTTAAAAACTGGAATACGAAATAGCACCAGTGTATATAATTTTTTTTTTTTTACAAATGCAACGTCGTTTGGTTAAAAATTTTGTTGTAACTTTTCGAGCTAGCTAAAATGTTAGTTTTTTTTTTTTTTTTTGTTCTAGCTATTTGCTTCATGACGACATAGTAATTTAAATATATTTTTTTTTTTTTAGTTCTCCTAATTTGTATGACAGCCCATGAATATGTTTGTTTTGAATGGGCACTTGAAATGTTAACTGCTACATGCGCAACTGGTGTGGGGGTCTGTGTTGGGAAGGAATAAGAGAATAGTAACATGAGGATACCAATTCTTCGTTCCTTCTCCGTATGCACAGCATAGAGGTTGCTGTTTTTGCTACCATCCGCGTCTTTAAAAATTTGTAAAATGAGCACTTGAATGAGGAAAGGCATACATATCCTTCGCTTCCTCCCCAACCAAGTGCTGCCTACTTGTACTCTGACACTTACCCCCTGTTGGGGACAGACTGTACATAAAAAGTTATGCATCCTATTGGGCCTCTTTTTAACAACCCCGCTAGTTGCGAAAACGACATAAATGAAGGGGAAATCTTTGGTAACCTTTGCAGTAAGCCTTGGGGAATACCAAAGTAGGTGATGTTTTTTCCATTTTCTCTTGCAGTTGGGTTTGCTTGGCAACAGTTTGCGTATAGGCTGCGCCAGAGGCTGCTGCTGCTGTGTGAGAAACCGCTTGTCGAACGACCCCCGTTGGAGGAACCATCACGAAGAAGACGAACGTACAACACGTATGCGTGAATGGACAACCGGAAGGGAAGCATAGTGCATGCGTTCAGGCAGGTATGGCCACGCGTCTCTGCACTCTTCACCCCCCATTTTAAGAGCAGCAGTGTAGTGGTTTCGCTGCGTGATAGCGCTATCTAGTTTTTCTTTTCTTTTTTTTTTTTGCGGGGCGGTTCGATGCGAAACCGATTAACAGCCAAATAAGTGAAGCAAAAAAAAGGAATACACTTCACCAAGTCGGCGAGATAAAATGAGGAAGACGTGCCAGGTGTGCAAGCAGAAGCTGTACCAGTACGTGTGTCCCTCCTGCGAAATCGTCTACTGCAGTCTCGAATGTTACAAAAAGCACAATGATGAGTGCGTGCACAATTTCCTGGACAACCAAGTGAAAGAGAATATAAAGAATAATCAGCTGACCGATTTAGACAAACGCGAGTTCAAGTTCAAGCTCAGGAAATTTTATGAACAAGGCGGCGAAGGCGCAGAACAGGAAGGGGAAGACGAAGACGATGAGGAAGTCGCTGATGGGGAAGAAGCGGGAATCGGTGATGAAGAAGAAGATGCTAAGACAGAAGCGGGAATCCCTGATGAGGACGTCGCTGATGAGAAAGTTGCTGACGAGGAAATCGCTGACGAAGCAGGGTCGGATGCGCCTGCCGCCTCACCGGGTCATGGACACCTGAAGAAATGGTGCATTAGCAACAAACGGTACAAGGTGCTGACGGAGCTGGCCAAGAGCGACCAGCTCAAGTTGGACCACCTGACGCAAACAGAGCAGAAGCAGTTCTTCTCATTTCTAAAGAGTAACGACATGAATGCATACTTGGAAAAATTCCAACCCTGGTGGCTAAACTGTGTCATTAAAAAGGTCCCAACACCTGAACACATTTGCTGCAACAAGCGTGTAAGTGAAAATGTCAAGTTCATGATAATCGAGATGGTCTACTCCTACTGCTATTTGTTACGCATTTTTAATGAAAGCCTTGATGGTAAGGAGTTGTGTTACTGTTTGCTTTACATGGCTAGCTCCCTGAACAGATTTAATCTGCCCGAAAGCAACGTGTACAACACAGTGAATAATTTATTTCAGAGGATCCTCGAAAATGATGAAATCGCTCGAGAAAAAGGTATACTGTACAATGTCATCACCGATGTTACAATTATTCTCAAGCTAAAAGATCTGTTACTTAGGTGTTTGTATGAAACAAAAAAGTTTTTTAAAAAGCAAATAAAAAAAATGAATTGCAAAAAGGATAAAATGGATAGTAGTGTCAGTGGCACTAAAAAAATGGCTGCACTATTACAGGAAGAAAAACATTTTAAATATGTGAATAAGAAAATTACCTTTCTTTGTAGCTACGCCAACTACCACTATGATGTGTTTGACTCCGTGACAAAACAACTTGAGCGATTCTACAGTGAGCAGAGCAGGGGGATGGCCCTTGCGTCTAATGAGAAACGAGAAATTGTACTCTCTAAGGAGATGCCGTAAAGAAAAGGGGGGTGTACCCTCACCATGCGTTAAACTGCTGCCCACCACATGTGTGTCACCATCGCAGTTGCGTTAACCAAACTGTCGCTGCAAATTATTTTTTTTTTCATTTGTAGTTGCCATGTTGGGCGTATTCAAAATAATTTTTTGTGCGAAACGTTTGGGTGCTCTCATTTGAGCGCTTTTTTTTCGTGTTGACCAACCTGACTTGTAACCGGCCCTGCCCGTTTGCCTCTTTTCATTTCTCCCCTACGTGGGAACACACGCGTATATAAACACCTATGCGGAAGCGTCCACCCATGCAAGCCGCTTTTTTGCACCTTAACTTCCAGAGTCCATTCGTTCAATTCCCACCCGGGGGAAAGGAACTTCTCGAAGTTTGGATGGATCCCTCCCTCCGTTGAGTTCTCCCTTTGAGGGGCAGCAGAGATAAGGCACCGCATGCAGATCAGGGGGGAGGGTGTAAAAAAAAAAAAAAAGAAACGCACGAAAAATGTGTAAACTGCAAGATGGAGGAATCGCGAAAATGAAAACCTCTTCCCCCCTCCGTTCCCTCCTCCTCGGCAACGCGTGTGACACGAACGTGTAAAATGGG